TCTCGAGATGGGCAGCAGCACCTATGGTGGAGATGGCAGAAAGAGCAGCAGTCTAGTGTTCGAATATGGTTGCTAGGATACCATGGAGACCCTCCATTGCTAGGCAGACTAGAAAAAAGAATGTGTCCATATGCCTTCTAACCTACAAACAGCAACAATAGAAAGAAACATCGTCTTGTCTTCCTCTACCCTTTTCCATTAGGAATCCAAACCCAACTCTGTGCTGAAATAACAAGTGGTGGAAGGTTAGAAGTCCGGCCCAGTAGAGCAAGAAAGCCGGTCATTTATATTCTCAGGCAGTCTCCAGAGCTACTATATTTAAGGGCTTGTCAGTATTTTCATTATAAGCCCTATTTTAGGGGCACACAACTTGACTGTGCTTCAAAACACTCTAATAGAGTTTAAGCAACCTGGTCTCATACATTTTTATAAAGACTTCGCCAACTTTCATTTTGCTGCATAGACTGTAATGTCAAATTAACGATCAAACTTAAAACTGGAAACTGTCAGGCTCATGTGAGGTCAGAATTTAACTCCTCCATGCAAACAGGGAAGATGAATTTCAAAAGCCAACTTCAGGTTCCATTTTCATCTATGTCCAGTTTGCGTGTGTATGTGTGGAATGTGCAGTGCTGGTCTGTGGCATAAGATTATTTTCAATGGGAACACGTGAAAGTCAGTGGAAAAGGAAACTTGGTTTCTTTAAGGGTTTTAGTCATCTGCTGCCTGCTTAAATTAAATGTTCTTACCTACTTAGTATAATTATAATTATCACTGGGACTGGGCTGCCTGGGGATAGAGGCCTGGACCAGTACTCTAAAACTCAGAGTTTTACTAGTGGGTAATAATCAGTACTTGTGAAACGCACACTCGCTTGCATGCACGTGCACACACACACACGATTCTTAATTATTCCCAAGTCAAGTGGAGATGCCCTCTCACATACTTTATAAACTCACAGAGATCGAGAGCCTCATTCTCACTGGCCTAAACTCGCCTCTCCATCCCCCCTTGGATACTCTAGAACAGCCACGAGTTGCTGCCATCATCCAGACATGATGCTTTCCTTTTCTGTTGCTTTGCAAATGGCACAGACAGTATCCCCCGCCCTTCCCACCCCACCCAGTGTCACCTCGTGATCAATCACCTGTATCATGGTCATCCTTCAAATACTTCAAAAAACCTTCACTTCCACAAGAATTTCTGATAGGCTAACATTAAATGTCAACTACCTTAGTTATCACCTCTCTGACTCACCTTACTCTAATTTCCAGAATATTTACTTGTGTGATCTTGTTAACCCCTTGATAACCCCTCGATGGAAGGACCTATGTATCTCTCTCCCCTCTACTTTATGCTGTTTTGCACCTGGAGACCAGCCCACAGAAGTACTGAATTGAGTTAAAGGGCACATTTGGAATTTAATTCCTACCTTTAAAGAATCCTGTTTTAATATATCATCTAAGATATAGCAGAATTTTAGAATTCTTTCATCTTCCAACAGAATTCAACAGAGTCTTCAGGAAATCTTTCTAATTTGAGACATATTACTCTCAATGTTTAGAAGATGTTTTCAAAAGTAATACTCCTTAAAAAGAAAAGCATATTTTTCTTTTCATCCCAAGCTCTTCCATTGCACTTCACAATCAAAAAGTGAAACAAACAAAAAATTGTCATCATTCTCTGAAATTCAGCTGCCTCTGGGGTGAAAAGCAACAGCTTGACAAAAACATGGACAGTAACAACTGTTGATAGGAATTCAAGTCTTTTATTCCAACCAAATAACAAGGAGCACTGTGACAGCAAAATGGAAAAGGTTTGGGAATATTTGCAATAGGTAAAGTATCAGAGACTGGATCTTCTAAATTACTGTAGTCTTATTTTCAGCAAGGAAATGTCAAGAAATAAAATTACTTCTAAAAGTCTGTAAGAACCACTCTATATAACCAATAGGCTATCTGATCCCATATAATGGGTGCTTGGGTTTTTTTTCTTTTTTCTTTGTATGGGTTGATTTGCTCAATTTATTTTAAAACATTCAATCTGGTAGTTTTACATTCCAGAGTATCTATAGGGTAGCAGTGAAATATAGATTCCATTTTACTACAACAGCTCTCTGATTGTCATTCATAACATAAAAAGAGCTTGCGGACTACCTCTGTACACAGAGGCTGTGAAAGAGACCAACAAAATTCTCCCAGCACTTGCAACCACCACTACCGTGTAGGTGCAGCAGGAGCACCCTGGCTCTGTGCTGGAATCTGACAGAGGCTTCTCTTCAATCTCCACATCAAGGGGAAAATTCCAAATCAAAAGTGTTATGACTAACATTATTAAGTTCCTCTATTTTCCACTATTTTCAAGTGATCAAAAATAACAAAGAAAACAGAATTTTCAAAGAATTACAGCCCCCGGAAGTCAACAATAAACAAAAACTAGACAAACACATCTGCAATACATTATGATAACTGAACAGAACAATTACTGGGCAGTTACCTACATCTAATGGAAAAAGAACTGAAAACAACCGTGAACATGATCTTGAATCGTGCACATGAACTTGAATAGACTTTACTTGGATGGTTTCAATTTTAATTGAACTCATAATAATCCATGTGTAAGCTCAAGAAAATGACTAAATTTAAGTAGCAAAAAGATGAAATATAAAGACAAACACTTATTGCCAATATGTCTGAGTAAACAAATTATTCACAGTGAGATAAAATGAAATGAAAAGAAGTCGTCTTGGACTTGCAAGGTTTGTACAGCCATTCACAGGACTTGAGATAAAATCATTTTGCATACAATGTATTTCTTTTTCCCTAAGTAAGGTACACAGCTACCACTCAAGCCAGTTTTATTCTAGTTTTCTTTATGTAAGTGTGAAAAAAGAACAGATGTTTTTCCAAAATTATTTAAGCTTGGAAGACATTCTATAATTTTCTTCAATATAATCCTTCAGAATCACCAAAATGATCATGGGAATACCTTAATAGCAGAGTTCTTTAAAATGCAAGTTGTCAAACAAATATCAGAACACGCCCCATTGTTCAAAAGATAACATGTTGATTATAACGGGATGTTGTGAATGATTTGCCACACTAATTTCATTTTCTACCATGGCCTGTTTTTTTCAAATCTAGTTATCCTACATGCCAAGCACCAAGAGGCTTCTAAAACTCACCACATTCTACAGTTCATTCCCTACTGCTTAGATTCCTTTAGATCTTCTCTAACAGAATGTTTAACTGGAGTTCTCAGCTGGCTTGATCATGCTTCATTATAAAACCTATTAAAATAGTATGTTTATCAAAGTCTAGTTTGCTCTGTGTCACTCCAAAGTCCTGAAGATACTAAAATGAGGTCCTACAGGATACTTAAAGACGCAGAGAGTTCATCTTTCAGTTATTTTTTCATTATGCAAAGCTTGGCCCGAGAGAGATGGCCATGTACCTCGTTAGCTCAAACAGGCAAGCACGCCAGGACTGCAAATTAATTTACTAGACAAAGTTGAGGTGGATTCGGAGACTTTAGGTTTCTAAGGGAAATCTATGCCTGCTAAATTATCAAGGCAACTCAGTAAAGACAGGATCTCAAGAATGTCTACCTGTATTGTCTATTTCCAGCCCCTTGGCAGACTTCAAACGTCCACCTTTAGTTAAACTTGCATGAGAAACAGCACATGTCCCACGGGAACCAACATGTGTGTACGCACCTAGGTACAGCTCTAAGTTTTCAAAACTGTAATTAGTACATACTCATGACTGAACCATTCAGTAGAGAAATGGGCATAAAAACCCTGTGCTGACTCTTTCTCCTTGCATTAACTTCTTGTGTTTATGGAGGGCTTCAAGAGACTGTGACTCATTATGTAACATGTGTCATCCAGCCAATGTGATACAGTTAGAAATGGAGTAGTAAAGTCTTCGGTTTTCTTTCAATTATGCCATCATCTATTAATTCAAAAAACCACTCATGTGGGTGCTCACTCTGATACTACGTTCACCTCGTGTTCCCCCTGCCTTGCTCTCCACATGGACTCTGAGTTGAGGATTGTATAACAAGTTTCATTCAATTTTTCCACCCAAGTTATGAAGCCCACTGACATCAGAACAACACAGTTCTTTAAAATGCTAGAACAATATGAGAGTGGTTGCAGAAGCAGCCAGAAGTCAAGCAAACAATGTGTCCACATTGTAAATAAAGGTAAAGGTATGCTTCTAGTTTTGACCCTGGAAACATGCAACCCCCTTGGGAGATGGAGCTGCCCCACTGGTGACATTATGCAAACCCCTTAAAGGAAAACAAGCACTGTTCTCCCCTGGATGTTATGGGGAAAAAATATGTTTAAAAAAATCAACAGACTAGGCTTTCACGGATGGATTGGAAATGTCATCCGATTCAAGAAATCAAGAATTCTTCCCTTTTGTATGCATACAGACTGATCTTTTACACTTTGATGACAGAATGTCAGGTTTGAAGGGTACTGGCGTGAAGCGCTGGCACGTAGAGAAACCCAGGAGCGCCACACAGGCATGGAAAGTAAGGGTGAGAGCAGACGCATTTCATTTCACGTGTGATTAGCCTGCACTTACTGTTTTCCTGCTGGCAGGTTTGCCTGGGCTTTGGGGAGACAAGGTGTTTTCTGTTTTTCGTCCTTTTTTCTATTCCTCCTTTTACATATCACTCACACGCACGGGTCGCACACACCTGGGGCGCAAACTCTGCCTAAGGCAGGTGGTATACGTGAATGTATATGCATTTTTTTAAAAAAAAAATACCTTGACATCTGACAAAGACACGAAGGCAACGTAGCTGCAGCGAGTCTGGCTCTGAGAAACGTGCACAGCCCGACAAGAAGTGCCGGTGAAAATGAAACATTTCTGAGGATGAGGACAGACAAGGCAAGCGGGAGGGGCGGGGGCCGACAGACAACACAGAGAACCGCAGCTCCCCAGCGCCAGGGCGCCACACCGACCCGGCGCGCAACCCCTGCTTACTGTGGGCTCTTGGGGTAGAAGGGCAGGGTCACATGGCTGAGATCCTGGATGTCGAAGGCGGTGGGCTCGGCGGAGATCGCCTGGCGCTTGGTGCGCGGCTCGCCCTGCACGGTGCTCGCGCTCTGCTTCTGCGCCTGCTGGGTGGCCGGCCGGATCACCGAGCGGTACTTGTCCAGCTCGTTCTGCAGCTTCTGGATCAGTTCGTCTTTCTGGTCCAACTCCAGCTCCAGCTCGTCGATGAGGGCATCCCGCTGCCTCAGCTCCTCGATCTTCTCCTGGAGCGCGTACTGCAGGTCGCGCAGGGTGCCCATGCTCCTCCGGGCTGCCGCGGGCTCCTTCCTGCTGCTGCTTCGCGTCTCGGGGCCGCTTCCCCTCTCGGATCAACTTTCCCCAAAGTCGCCGCTGCCTCGCGAGTGCAAAAGCTTCCTACTTGAGACCAAAGCCAGCCCTGGCTTCTGAGCATGCCCAGTCCGCCGGCTCCAGCCACCGAGAGTTTCAGTGTGCAGATTCCACTTCTCCGCGCTCCGGGAAGAGGCTGAGTGCGGGGATGAGCCAGGCAGCAGGTCCAACTCGGCAGGAAACCCGGAACGCGGTGGGCGCCAGCCGCGGCGCAGCGCGGGTTGCGGGAGGCGGAGACCTAAGTCGGGAGCTCCGAGGCAGCGGCTGGTCTGCGGGTCGCTGGCGCCGGACGCCCCAGGAAACCCGCGGTGTGGGAGGGAGCGGACGGCCAGGAAAACCTGTGGGGCGCGCTCCGGGGTGTGCGGGCGGAGCAAGGCGGGGGCACTACTTTGGGGGTGGGGAGGTGGGAGGGCGAGGCCAGGGAGGACCCCGGGCGGAGCAAGGAGGCGGCAGCCGGCTGCAGAGCATACCAGGCTCGCGGATGTCGGGCTGGGAGCGTGGCGAAGGCTTCGCAGGGCAGCGCGCGCGGTGGCGGCCGAAGGCTCCGAGACCCGGAGGCGCGCTGACCGCCAGCCTCACCCACGGAGCTAGGCGGGCGCGCGGCGGCGACACTGCGCCCGCGCTGCTCCCACGCCGCCTTTCCCGCGGGAGCGCGGCGCACAGGTGGCTCGGGCTGGCGGAGAAGAAACTTGCCTCCTGGTAGAGGCGAGCGAGTGCGCGCCTGCGAGGGTGCCTCGGGCTGGCGGCGGGCTAGTGGCGTGCGGATGCGGGTCCTGACCTCCTCCCCGCGAAGTGTGGCTATGCCGCCCGCCCCTGCTAGTCACTCCTTACCCTGCCCCTTCCACGCTGAGCTCCACGAACTCTTTTTCCGGCCAAAGCCGTAAAGGATGCGGGTCCTGGAAGGCCCCTGCCCTGCTCTGTTATGCCTCCCACCTGAGCAGGTGGTCTGCGGAGGGGTTCGCCGCTGGGCCTCGCTGCTGCCTTTTGCTGAATGTGGTTGGGGAAGGGGCAGGGGTTAAAAATCATTCTGAATCTTCAGAAAGTTCGTCCTGAAATCGAATCATGCCTTTAAATATGTTACTCCCCAACCCCAACTGTTAGCAATGTATCTTCCCATTGGAATGACAAGGAAGAAATCCTGACACGAACTTTCAAGAGGAAAAGACGTTACAGAGAAGGGGGAGGCGACCCGGGCTGCAGGACACTGAACACCATAACGCCCCGCGCCCCACCTCTACCCACTGGGGCCGCATCCCTACCCGCACACTGGTCCCTAAAATGACAGCTTCCAGCATGCTGTCTGCCCATCGGTCACTCGCCCATTAACAGGCATACATGTGTTCAATCACCAACATATTTACCTAACACCTGAATCCCTACTCATTCCCTAAACCTTCACCAGCAACCTTTTAATGATCACTCTTGGGCACACAGTATTATAACCATCAATACTCACTCTTTTCTTTGATCATCCCTTAACACCAAAACAATGTAGATAGAAATAAATTAAAACTGAGTTGCATCACAGAATTCTTTACTGCAATCTAAATTTAGCCAGGGACACTAATACCACTCACAAAACCAAAACAACACCTCGCACACTTTTGCTTCTGAATACACACTTTTTGTACTTGAAGTAAAAGAAAAGGCAGCAGCAGATTCTGGCAAGGTAGCAAGTGTTGTGATTCAAAGTGTACTTGTTTGTAATCAGAGGTGTAAATGACAAAGGGTATACGTATACGATGGGAAACATTCTTCCATATAGATTCTGATCTAATTCTCGGTACTGGTGACATAAGACGTATCCTTTGTATGCCTTCCAACACAGATATTTTCGGAAGAGCATTTAATTCAGAATGTAATATAAAATGTGGATAATTCCCGAAACATTTATTTGTAATAAAAAAAAACAAGAATAATGTACAAATACTGACAGCAGTAAATAACAGTTCTGAGCTTTGTGTTGTAATTAAAAGTAAACCAAACCCAAAGTACTGGACCTTGTAACACTGACAATTGCTTTCCATGCAGAAGGTCAACTTTTTACCTCATTTAACCTGTGGAAATTCTTCCATGGGAAAATAGTTCTATGTGACGTTTTCCTATAGATTGATTTTTGGGTTCCATGAGGAGAGGAATTTATGTCTAAAAATACATCAGGGGCCGGCGCCGTGGCTCAATAGGCTAATCCTCCACCTAGCGGCGCCGGCACACTGGGTTCTAGTCCCGGTCGGGGCGCCGGATTCTGTCCCGGTTGCCCCTCTTCCAGGCCAGCCCTCTGCTGTGGCCAGGGAGTGCAGTGGAGGATGGCCCAAGTACTTGGGCCCTGCACCCCATGGGAGACCAGGAGAAGTACCTGGCTCCTGCCATCGGATCAGCACGTTGCACCAGCCGCAGCGCGCCAGCCGTGGCAGCCATTGGAGGGTGAACCAATGGCAAAAGGAAGACCTTTCTCTCTCTCTCACTGTCCACTCTGCCTGTCAAAAAAAAAAAAAAATACATCAGGGTGAGTGTTTGAAACACAGGTTTCAGACCCCAGTTGGGAGACGGAGACACCACGGAGTGCCAGGTTGGAGTCAGGCTCCTCCCCTAGGATCCAGCTTCCTGCTAAGGTAGGAAAGGCAGCACATAGTGGTTCAAATACCTGGGTCCCTGTCATCCACATGGGCAACCTGGACCAGGTTTACTGGCTCCTGGCTTCAGCCTAGCCCATCTCTGGCTGTTGCAGGCATTTGGGAATGAACCAGCAGATAGAAGATGTCTCTCCCCAATCTGTCTCTCTCTCTCTCTCTCTCTCTCTCTCTCATACCTCCCCAACCCCTCTGACCCTCTGCCTTTCAAAAAAAATAGTTAATTCAGCAATATGAAAGGTTCAACATTAGACACCTGGTAAGCAGCATTTTGTTTTTAGAGTACATTCGAGGCATAATGGGGTTACTTGATGTCTGAGATTTTTCCTTACTTGTAGAAAGGCAGTCTACACATTCCATGGAAATTAGACACTCAAGCATTCTTGCCCCTCAAAACATAGCATTTCAATAAAACATATTTCAGCAGGTATCTGGATCTCCACATCCCTAGGAGCTGGTGCGGGCTCGACCTGCGAAGCCCGTGCCCTGCCGGGATGGTGGGGCAATGGCATCTTCGCCAAGAAGCACCAAGACAAATTTCGGTGAACATGTCCGCTTCGTTAAGGACCAAGGAGACCTTTTAAAGGGCAGACAGAAGAGGCTTAACTAATCAGGCAACACTAATTCTATAGGATAGAACCATACTGGCACCGCTATGCTTCTGCAATCAGCTTGAAGGTCACGTAGCTAGGATAGCTTTCCAAGTTGTCCAGATAGACCTGGGCCACACACGGGAGCTGTTTACCTGATTTGCAATTACAGGACCCTTTAACAGTGCGTGGGGGTGGCGGGGGGTGCCTGCGGCTCCCACCCGCCAGCAGGCAAGTTGTGGGTTCCTTCCCGGGAGGCATAGTGTGCCATGCCCTCTCTACCTCCTGCATGGTCAGGGAAGACTCCTCAACAAGGAAACCAGATCACCCACAAGCCCGTGTGGTGGAAGTCAAACACACTAAGTAAGGTTTTCAGTAAAATTTTTTTTTTGACTGGTAGCTTAGAACTTAAAGGACTACATTTCTATCTCAATCTTTTGTATGATTCCAGTAATTTCTTAAATGACTTTTGCATTGTACTTGATAAATACTAGAAACACATTTTATGTGAAAAATCAATGACCCACAATTTCAACTCAACAGACAAATTATCTTTATTATCTGTCCCACAGTAAACTTAATTGGCCAAATTACAAGATCAGCGATCAGACACAAGTGTATGTTTTGCATATTAGGAAGTGTCTAGAGAAACCTCGAATGGTGTGGAATGGAATGGGAAGGCCTGATCTCCCCCATTAATGTCTATGTGTGATGGGGCCTTGATGATAGATACAAACGCTTGGAACAATGCAATGTTTGTAAATGACTTATTTATTTTTTGAAAGGCAGTTAGTTACAGAGAGGGAGAAGAGTCAAAGAGAGGGGAAGAGATCATCCATCTAGTGATTCATTCCCCAAATGGCCACAAAGGCCAGAGCTGGGCCAGGCTGAAGCCAGGAGCCTGGAACTCCATCCAGGTCTCCCATGTGGGTACAGGGGCCCAAGGTCTTGGGCCATCTTCCACTGCTTTCCCAGGTGCATTAGCAGGGAGCTGGATCAGAAGCCATCCCCAGAACAATACAATTTTAAAGTCAACTCACAAGCTCATTTTCAGCGGTTTCCCTTTACTGTAACTTTTTTAAAAAGCCAAGTTCTACTGGAAGCCAGACCAAACCGTGAACTATAGTAGCTCTTCAATTTTGTACCCTGTCTTCATGATTGAGAATAAATACTGCATGCCTTCCTTGGTGGAATCTGAGTCATTTAATGAGATTCAGTAAAGTAGGTTTACTACAATATGAGCTATTTAAAAAAACAGTATGTGAAATTTGTCTCCCTTCACTAAAAACATAATTCTCCTCAAAAGATCTGTGTTAATTTTTCATTCGCTTGTGGGTTCCATGGACACTACATTTTATACAAGAGTCCTAAGTTTGAATTTTTCTTCTGCCTTTTCATGTGTTTATCTTGAACAGAGAAAACAGAAAAACAAAATGTAGCTAAGTATTTCAAGATCTTGGAAGCCACTATTTGTGGCAGACTGCTAAAAGTTACAAAGACACCTGAGAGTTCAGATTTGAAGGCTAATTGGAAGTCAAACATGCTGGTCATAATCATGACACAATAAAAATAACTAAATTCCTTGAACTCTTAAAGCATGATGGAATATAATGATGTTATACTTTAACTATATCTGAGAAAATAGGTGCAGAATCTCCCACAAAATGAACGATAAAGCCTGGATTCTGATCCAGGTCATTTAATGCAGAAATGAACCCCTGCCTCTTGTTGCCTCCTGGCAGGGCCTCCCAGGGTTGCTGCCTTCTGAGATTTGGATCTAGAGAAATATGAGCGTCCTTATCAAGAACTCACTTGACTTTTGTGTTGGGAAAATAGAAGAAATTTGGAAAATTCTGAAAGAGCAGGAACAAGACTTTTTAAAAAGTTCCTTTCCCCAGTCTTCGTTGCTGCATCATTTTATACTGGTTTAAGGAAACCAATTTGTACCCATTTGCCTGCAATTGCCCTAGTTTTGATACTAAAATTGCTTGGAATTGTTCAGGCTTTAAAACTTAGAGTCCTGGCCGGCGCCGCGGCTCACTAGGCTAATCCTCCGCCTAGCGGCGCCGGCACACCGGGTTCTAGTCCCGGTCGGGGCACCGGATTCTGTCCCAGTTGCCCCTCTTCCAGGCCAGCCCTCTGCTGTGGTCAGGGAGTGCAGTGGAGGATGGCCCAGGTGCTTGGGCCCTGCACCCCATGGGAGACCAGGAAAAGCACCTGGCTCCTGGCTCCTGCCATCGGATCAGCGCGGTGCGCCGGCCGCAGCGCGCCGACCGCGGCGGCCATTGGAGGGTGAACCAACGGCAAAGGAAGACCTTTCTCTCTGTCTCTCTCTCCCACTGTCCACTCTGCCTGTCAAAAAAAAAAAAAAAAACTTAGAGTCCTAACTATTTCTCAGTCCCAGGCAAACCAAGACAGCTGGTCAGCCTATTTAACATGAGATTTTTTTAGCCTCTCTGTTTTATAAATATTTTCGAATTGTTCTTTCAAAATTACTGATAGAAAAGTAAAATCAAATAGCTGTAATGATAACAGCTATCATTTTTGGTACATTATGAACCCACATACACATTTGTTTGTGATGTGACTATGTTTTAGGAAAGCAATCATCCTGCTCCGATGTAAAATAATACATCACAGGAATTATCTCTGGACTGTAAAGGTGAATGAGTCAGACAACAGAGCTTTAATTATACTTTGATAAATTAGACAAGGATTCAAGGTTTCCTTTGGCTTAT